TATATAGTTAGTGTTAATGTTTAAAATAAGGTTACATAGAATAGATCTCTATTATCTATTATCTCTATTATCTATCTAAAATGCTCTTTATTTTTTTGTTTGATATGTGATTTTAATTGTATAAATAATATAAAATTTCTATCATTCAAGATAATATTTTAAATTTTGAAACCAAAAAAAAAAAATTCTTCGAAACTCAAAAGAATTCGAAACTCAAAAGAATTCGAAACTTTCTTGCTAATTTTGTAATTTGAAAAATTATTCTTGAAAATCCAGAAAAAAAATAATTTGTATGAGAATTAAATTTCTTGTAAACTAAAAAGTTAAGTGAAGAATTCCAAAAAATAAAATTTATTAAAATTTTAATTCATGACAAAAATATTTTTTAGAAAAATAATTAAAAATTTTCAGAGTTTCGAAAATTTCGAATTCAAATTTTTTGTGAATTTAAAAACCAAATTTCGATTTTTATTTAAAATAATGCCAAGAATAATATGTAAAAATTATTCGAGTTAACAAAAAAATCATAGTACTTTAATTTACTATATTTATTTATATTTCGTACAACCTATTATATTAGAATTTTATCTTTGTATATTTCATTCTATTTATCGCATTTCATTTTTTTATTCTGTTATATACATTTACAAATATACGCATTTATTTCTCAAATTACATTAGTCAAATATAACGAAATGGAGTTTAATTGAATTTATATATTAATAGAAATTATTAAACAAAATTGTCAATTAGAAATTAATTTATATAATCAAACAAGATTTTTTAGTTTCCGTTTTAAATCGATAATAATCGTTTTTAAAAGATATATAAATTTAGAATTTAAATAAATATGGTAAAGAAAATATTATAGCTTAATTTATATATAAAACGATAGAAAATGTTAGCAATGGATCAAGAGAAGTTTTAATTTCCGTTTTAAATTCCAATACCAATCGTATTCATGATAACATTCAAATTATAATTTTTCTCGATTCATTTATGCAAATCAAAATATAAGAATAAATTTACATGTAAAGTTAATTTCATAAAAACATAATCATAATGATTCCTCTCCATGAAAATTTATTTTATAAAGTTCTGTTTATGTTTCAACAATATATTTAGCTAATACATAGATACAATCGTTTCAATAATAGACGAGTCGTCCTAAACATTTCTTAAAATTGTTTCGATTTTTTTTGTTATCTTTGTTGTTATTATTAATTACTAGGTATTGGGTAGTTGATTAATAGTGAAAGATCTACATTCTAAACTACTATTGTGTTATTATAATAAAAATAACACAATGTTCTCAAACAATCCATGAAAATTATAGAAATGTTTGAATTAATTGTAATCAAGATGATTAATACAAAATCATATTCGCAGATATAGATAACTTCACTTGTGAAAAAAATATTTTTCTGTATCATTTAGAAGAATATATAAAGTGTTAATATGAAACATATTTGAAAAATTGATTTTAGAGATTAAACACAAAAGTTGGTATAGAAAAATATCGATTAAGACTTATTTGTTAAGTTATAAGCAATTGAAATTTGTATTAAACGAAATAAGACGGAATACTGTCGCGATAATGCCGTAACGGAGACAGAAAAATCTGATTATGATTTAATAAATAAGCTTTAATCAACATTTTTGTATATCAACTTATGTATTTGTTTTGATTTCTAGAATCGTACTTGTATGTATGTGATATATCATAAATATATAATAGATGAATAATAGATTTAACCATTCTAATAACATTATAAAAAATAAAGAAAAATTTTATACACCTTATATCCAGCATATTTTCTATTAATATTCATATAATAGCACAATGTTTTTATATTATATGTTTTTTTATTATTTTAACAAGATTAAATAAAAATAATTAAATAACCAAATTAAAAAAAACAAAATAAAAAAATTGAATAATTATTAATTTAAAAATAATAAATAATAAAAAAACGTATCTTTTTAAAGAATTAAATTAATAATTTTAATTTCTTCGAATGATAGCAATCGTTAATTTAAAGTGAAATTCCTCTACTGAAAATTAACTGATATCAAGTTCCTTAATTATGATGTATTTAGTTTCTATAGTTAATATCACATATTTATACTGACGACATTACCATGGTATATGAATGATTATATTTTTACGATACTTAAATTCTGTATATAGAGAATATTAGAGATAATTAATGATATTCAATAAAATGACACTTCTAAGTGATCTTTTATTTCTTAATTCGATAAATAAGAACATGTAAATCAATTTTAGATTAAATTATACTTGTGAACATTTGTTATGAAAATTATTTAAATATGTTCCCAAAAATTATGTAAAATTATTCTATTATTTACTTTATTATTTATTATTCTATTAATATATAATAATTATAATAATTATTCTATTATTTATTTATTTATTTATTGTATTATATATTTTTTTCTGTTTTAACATTTAATATTTTGACACTGTGATATACTTGTTATGAAAATTCCAACCATATTCTTAAGAATTATGTTAAAATATTATATAAATATTATATATATAAAAATTATGTTAAAATTATTCTATTATATGTATTTATTTGATATGTATTTTTATTATATATATTTTTTATTATATATATTTTTTTTTCTTAAGTTAACCTTTGTATTAATATTCAAATATCCAAATATCCTTTATGTAATATAAAATATACAATTTTTTTTTAATAAAAATCCTATTATTTAGCATAGATTTAGCATGTCATCTATTTATATTCCAGATTTAAAATTTTACTACTAAAAGAATACTGAAATCAGATATAATATTAAAAATTTTGGATATTAATACAAAAAATTCTCTTCTTTTGGATTATGATATTTCAACGTTTTAAAGATTTTTATGACTCCTCTGTCATAATAATCAAATTATGAAAAAATGTAACTTATGTATAACTTATGTATAACTTTAAATACCTCAAATTAAGATATTTTCTATTATTTTATTTTTAATAGATATCAAAAATATGTAATGTGCATTAATGATATTTAAAAGCCAATAATAAAATTAACCGCAAATAATAACTAGTTATTTTTTATTTAATTGTTTATTCAAAAAGTCTGCATATACAAGTTATTTTTTTTATTTAATTTATTAATTATTTAATAATTTAATTTAATAATTAATTAATTATTTTTACTTAATTTATTATTGAAAATTCATTCTCTTTTATATCTCTCGTTAAATTTTTATTTTTATTTCAGAAATTTACTTAATTTTGTATAAATTTCATTGAAAATGGAAGTTTTTAATTGATATCTTGAGCATTATTTATTTTATAAATAGTTATTTTCGTTTATTTTGAACTTAGAATTCAATTTTTTGTCTAAAATCATTCTAATAAGATTGCAAAATTCCACATATCGAATACACATATGAATTATCTCTATAGTATTTCTTTTTTATAAATTTATCATCCAAGATTAACAATAATAGACTATAGCAAAAATTCATATTATAAAAATCTTTAATTTTAAAAAAATATAATATTTAAATAATCTAATATATTACAAACCAAAGTATTTTATATAAACTTAAAAATATGAAAAAATAACAAATTAAAATATGTTTAACAATTTTCATTTATTATATATATTACAACGAAAAATCTGAAAGATTTCCTTATATGAAATCTATAATGCTAGAACTTTTTTAGTTTGTTATATGTTATTGTATTAAATAAAAATTGAAACTTGATATAAAATATTTTCTTTTTTTCTTTTCTATTTAAAATATAAAAATTTAAATTCTAAAAGTGACGATTTTCTGAAAGAATATTTAATAATGAATGATAAATTAGAGGTAAGTAATAATTTGAATGATATAAATTTTCCTGTATCATTTAAATTATGCCCACTTGCACTTGAACATAGTAATTATCTTGTCTCATTCAAGGTGAATGAAAGTTATTTGAACTTTATCGCTATTTTAAATGGTCATTTCCGCACTGTCGATTAAAACGGTCGTTTGAAAATATCTGACATACATATAAAAAAGAATATACATGGTGTGCTTTAAAAAATAATAACCGTAAATCTTTCTTTTATTATTATAAAAAATATATATTACATTTTTCAAAACAATTTTCTTAAAAAACTATATACATTGACAAAGTCATTGTTCCCAGTTTTCTCATAACAATACTAAAAAGGTACTATTGAAATGAAAGTGTTTTTAAATTATATATATAATTAGTTGATTATTATAATCTTTTAATATTATAAGCATCTTTCTTCAAAATGACGACTATTGAAATAACTTTCCATTTTTGAAAAAAAGATGAAAGTCATGAATTTCAATTATAATATGAAAATTGTGGCAGGAATACATTTTAAATGTATTATGATTTGCAATCAAAAATTGAAAGTATATAAAATAGAAATATACCATATTTTAAATAACAAAATTGTAATGCGTTTATATAATGTTTATATAATGTTACTAGATTCTGATTAGGATCATTATATATTGATATATTTTATATGTATATATAATATATATAAAATAATATTAAATATATATAATATGTATATATATATATATATATATATAACATAATATGTATATATATAATAATATTGATATAAAACTTATTTATTAAATTATAATAATTGAAAAGTTCACATTAGATAAAACGAGATATATGTCTTTATTACGTCAATTTTACGAGGCTATTTTTATATTGTTTTATGCAATTTTTATGTTATATTTAACGCAAAACATTGTTTTACGTTCATTTTAAAATAATAATAAATTTATAAGATTGAAGAAAAAATATTAATGAATAATAAAAGAGTAATTTTACAGAAATCATTTTTTATATACAAATCTGAAATATTAACTTTTCTTTCTTTTTTCTATTATTTTTCTATTATATAATTTTGGTTTTTTGTTCCATCACATATATATTTGTTATTTGTTCTATCACATATATATTTACCTTATCTCTTTTAGAAGACTCTTCGAAATATTCTGATTGCAAGAATAATTCTCAATGTACCTATGCTGATTTTCAATCAGGCTACAATTGATGTTGGGTTCACAGAGAGTCATGAAATGTGGTCTCAATCGTCCGATCGTATATTTGGCAATATCGGTAAGTAGAACAGTAGTTGCTGCTCCAAAACCAAATATGCCAATCTGAAATGTTAAAAATAATTATAAGAAATTTAAATATTGTTATATATTATATAATTCAAATTTTGTATTTTTGATTTTTTTTCAGTAAATGAATTTCTCAAACTTTATAATTATATATTTTGATATAAAATAAAAATAAACCAATAAATTTGCTATATAATTTTTTTTGTCAAATTATTTAATTTTGAATATAGTTAAAAATAATGAAAAATTAATATTTTTATTAAATTTTATTGTTTAATTTTAATATTCAATATTTTATATTTTATAATTTGAAAAGAAAAATCGAATAGCAAGTTTTGAGGAATTATAAAATAAAGAAAAGACTTCAATTTTCAAGTCTATTCTGGATTTAATCATGAAAATAATTTTTCAATTATAATTTTTTATAGCCGATTGAATTTTTCAAAATTTTTTAGAAAGTATCTTCACTTTTCTATTTACTATACGATGTAAAAACATCTTTGAAGAAATGAACTCAAGACTGTGAAAGTAGAGGTTCACGCTTTAAAATGAGTTCAGAGTGATTGTTGTACGATTTCTTTTTATAAAGTTACAACAGTTTAAAATATCATTGAATGATTCACTTATTCATCGATTCTTTTTTTGTACTATATATATATATATATATTTTATAGATACAATTTATTTAAGAAAACGCAATTCATTATCTAGTAATACTCTTACGCAATAAATTATATAATAAATTTTTTTTATCACATTTAAATATTTTCGTTACTTATCGCATATTATCTTTAACATGATAATCATGCTCAATTTTATTTTATCAGACATATGTTAGCGATGATAAACACATGAAATCATGCTATTGCCAAATGTACGAACATTTATATTCTCATTTTATAATGTATTTTAAATTAATCATATTAATGTTCCATATTACCAAGCAACAAAAATGATTAATATAGATATAAGTACAAATTCTATGATGTAATTACATTACTTTTCACGCGAACCTTCAATAAACAGACGAATCATGTGCAAAGTGTTTACGTCCGATAAAGATTAAGAAAAAATTCAGGAAAGAATAATACTTTCATAAACAAAACATATTCATCATTTCATTAACTTTTAATCCAAGATGTAATTTCGTGTGTGCATTTGGTTTTCACAATGAAAGATATTATGCAGAATGCAGAATAACATTATATATATATATATTTTCATATATGAAAATGAAAATATGAAATATGAAAATATTTAAATTATTTTATGTAATATGTATATCAAAATATCATATAATATATAATAAAGATAAAACGATAAATAATATAAAATATCATAAAAATGAAAAATTAATATAATATAGATTAATATAATATGAATGCAATAATTAATGTATAATTAATTGTAATAAATTATAAAAAAATTAAAAAAATTTATTTTATAATAATTATTAATTAATTAAATTATTGATAATATAATAATAGCGACGAAAAATTTGTACCACTATGTTAAAATCTAAATTAAAGTTTAAGTTGAACTAATTTCTATTAAAATATATCACTATATTGTAGTTTTAATAAAAATTTCGAGTTGTGTTCTTTACAATTTTTATCTAAATTTATACTACAAAAAAAAAACAGGAAAGATCTAACTCAAACTAAATCATTAAAAGAGTTAGAACGATATTAAATGATTTCTTAATGAAAAATTAAGAAAAACGTATAAAAATCAAAAAATTCATATTCAAAAATCAAAATTATATATTTATATAACCATAAAATTAAAATACAAAAAAGCATTTTAGAATTTATAAAATATATAAAATATGTAAAATCTAAAAATACAAATAAATGCAAAAAAAAAATCTAAATAAATTATTTTATTGTTTGATTTGAAATAAGCCAACTATATTATTATATTTACTATTACAAATTAAATGACCAAGATTTAATGTTTTAAAAATTCTAACAAATATAAATTATATTAATATATTAATATATAAAATGTTAATTAATATGTTAATATATAAATAAAATAGTGAATTAATGAAATAATAAAAGAAAATGATTAATGCAATATTTAAAAATCAAATATCAATATTTATCATAAATATGTTAAAATATCAAGATGATAAAAACTATATAAAACTATGATAAAAATATAGATAATGCACTATAATTATTAATATAAATTAAATTTTAAATTTTAATACGATTTGAAATTAAAAATGCTGAAATTACAATTAAAAATATTGATGAATTATATAAAGTAAATAAATTAATAATACATTTTTAATTTGACTTTTAACAAAATATAAATTATCATATTATATATATTATATAATATTTTGCATTATTGTGTTTCAATATTGATAGTTAAAAATATAAATAAACAGTTAATTTATAAATCAATATATTAATATAATTTCTTATTAATATTTATTATTATTAAATTTTCAATGTAAATTATATAATTATATAATTCAATAATTATTCTGAATATCTAATAATATTATAATTTACACTTTCGATGTAAAATATATAATATATACATAAAGATCGTCGCTTATTTAATAACATCGGAACTATATTAGCATTGGATTAACATCAATATATTCACATTAATTATATACATATTTTAATAGATGCATCCACTTAATGGCAATAGCACGACATCGATACAACATGGTTTTCGTTAGCAACCTGAATTTGCTGATCCAGCACGATCGCTCGCTGCTCACATACTGACAATGTATGTTTATTCATTTTATCTTATTATGAAATATACATATATAGAATATCCCAGAAATCAACCAACAAATAATTTAATGGCGATTTTTGAGTTGATTTTAAGCAATTCTTAGCTTTGCGAAAAGATTCGATTCGAATTAACAAATTATTAATGAAAAACATTGGCCAATCACGAAGTGCGTCGCAAAGTAATAGTAGCATTAGATATGTGTTGTTGGTGAATCGATATTTGACATATGTATATATTACTTTGATAATATATTTGCTCTACTTTAATTTGCTAACAATATATACACTATCATTGTAGATCACAAGTCTACAAGCTTTGTAATTAATCATTGCTTTTCATTATAATATTTCATATAATAACATACAATACAAAATTGTTAACTATTAACAAAGTCTAATCAAAAATTTGTATAAAGAAAAAAATTGCTTGAAACTATCTGAGGAATTACACATTAAATTTTGTCGGTTTGATGAGGATTATATTTTATATAATATGTAAACTGTCATACTAATAGATATTTAATATAATATGATTTTGTATGAATATACTGAAAAAAATCTGATATTGTCTAGTGCTGTTAAATAAATTAATTAATAATGATTTTTAATCAATTATCATTCTTCGTTAATGTCAAATAAATATGTATATTATATGTAGATATGTAAATTCATTTCATTAAGACAAATAATTAGTTTTAATATAGATACTTAAGTTCAAAATATAAAACAAATATATATACAAATTATTTAAATTTAAAATTTAAAATAATTTGTTGTAAATGTAACGAATTTGTATGATGCATTATTATGTCAAAAGAAATAATAATATTTAACAATAAAAAACTATAAAAATATTTAATAATAAAATTGAACAACTTTGGATTTTAATTTTAATTTGAATTTTAACCTGAATTAATCTAAATTTGAATTTTAAAAAAATCGATAAATAATTATTTTACTGTCATATATTATAAATTCTTGTAAAAAAAATAATTAAATATAATATATAAATATATAGATATATGTATAATATATTAAGTATAGATATAACTTATATAATGAATAAAAAAAATTATTCAAAAATTGAGATATAATTATTTTGTCTAATATTCATGTTTTGAATTTCTCTCATTTAATATTTT